ATAAAATAAAATAAAATAAAATAAAATAAAATAAAATAAAATAAAATAAAATAAAAATATAAAATTTAAATTCAGGTTTCGGGGGAGGGGAAAGGAGAGGAATTAACCATTTCCTGCTCCCTGCCTCTCCAAACTGGAAATTCCAGTCTGGAAAAACGAGAGAGGATTTGGAATTAAAAAAAACCCCAAACAACAGCCAAAAAAACTCCCAAAAATCCCTCAAAAATTCCATTTTTAAGGCAGTTTTTTCTTTTTTTTCCCTTGGGATTGGAGCAGCCAAAATCCCCCAAAATTCCCCCAAAATTCCCCCCAAAATTCCCCCCAAAATTCCATTTTTAAGGCAGTTTTTTCTTCTTTTTTCCTTGGATTGGAGCAGCCAAAATCCCCCCAAAATTCCATTTTTAAGGCAGTTTTTCTTTTTTTTCCCTTGGGATTGGGGCAGCCAAAATCCCCCAAAAATTCCATTTTTGAGGCAGTTTTTCCCTCTTTTTTCTTGGGATTTGGGCAGCCAAAATCCCCCAAAATCCCCCAAAAATTCCCCCAAAAATCCCTCAAAAATTCCATTTTTAAGGCAATTTTTTCTTTTTTTTTCCCTTGGGATTTGGGCAGCCAAAATCCCCCAAAATCCCCCAAAAATTCCATTTTTAAGGCAGTTTTTCCTTCTTTTTCCCTGGGATTGGAGCAGCCAAAATCCCCCAGAATTCCCCCAAAAATTCCCCCAAAAATTCCCCAAAAATTCCATTTTTGAGGCAGATTTTCTTTTTTTTCCTTGGGATTGGAGAAGCCAAAATCCCCCCAAAATTCCCCAAAATTCTCCCAAAAATTCCATTTTTAAGGCAGTTTTTTCTTTTTTTTCCCTTGGGATTGGGGCAGCCAAAATCCCCCCAAAATTCCAAAAAAATTCAATGTTTAAGGCAGTTTTTCCTTCTTTTTTTCTTGGGATTGGAGCAGCCAAAATCCCCCAAAATTCCCCAAAAATTCCCCCAAAAATTCCCCAAAAATCCCCCCAAAATTCCATTTTTAAGGCAGTTTTTCCCTCTTTTTTCCTGGGATTGGAGCAGCCAAAATCCCCCAAAATTCCCCAAAAATTCCCCCAAAAATTCCCCCAAAATTCCCAAAAAATTTCATTTTTAAGGCAATTTTTTCTTTTTTTTTCCCTGGGATTGGAGCAGCCAAAATCCCCCAGAATTCCCCCAAAATTCCAGGAGGGAAAAGCGGCGCTGGCCCTTTAAGAGCAGAGTGGGGGGCGGGGG